GCGTACCACGCCCACTACACCCCTGACTACCAACTACTATCACAAAGTGGCACTGGCTTCGCAAACGTTACCAGTGTCTATTTGGAACATGTCATCCCTTTAATAGCAGGCTGTTCTTCTCCAGTGGAAACAACCCATCTCTTAATGCACCACAAATCTTCCTAAATCCTGGCTTAACACTGAAATTCCACAAGGTGTTAGTACACTTGTATTACATGCTAGTCCCTGTTTATCCTACCTCCACTTCATCACCAAGCTATAAAACTAATGGCTCAGCTCTATTTCTGACAGCAGGTTGCTAGAAACTTTAGCGCTGCCTGAATATAGCCCATTAGCCCATCCGTAAATACCACGAACATGACCCCAGTTAGTGCTAATTCACGTTACGCTATTAATCGAATTCGAAAGAACAACCAAGCTTATTCGTGCGTGTACAGAAGTGTCCCCTACGGTCTCGTAAATGACCCCGCGGGCTATTTGGGCAGCATACGGTCATACGGAGCCGCAAATAGAATGCGGTGATGAGAAAGAGAAAGAGGTTGGGGTCCGGAGGGAGGGGGCTTTGGAAAATACACACGCAGGTAGACATGGAGGGTCTCGGTGGGGTGAGAAGTCAGCGGTGGGGTTTTTTTTACGCGGGCAAATGGATGGGCTCTGTCAACACCGGTGTTTATCCAGAGCTCATAGTGGTACAGTATATGAGTCAGAGGCTGCTTCCAGGGCTGTATGTCATCTGCCCCTTAAAGCCCGATGACCTTGGCCCGATGGGGGACATGGGAACGGGGCCAGAGCGCGGGGCAATGTCAGGGGTACAAAGGAAATGTATTTATGTAACGCTTTCACAAAGTTTACAGAGATGGGGAAGTCGTGTTTTAGAGGTAGGGATTTCTGCGGAAGGCCCTAAAATCATGTTTGGTCAGAAATGAATTCATGTGTTTGAGACCTCCTTTATCATATGACTAAATATTGTGAAAAATATTGAGCTGAAAATTGACCTTTAACCCTTTTTTGGCAGTGCCTGTACTCTGCATTTGTATCATGAGCCAAAAATAAGGAGTCGTGCAAAGGCAAAAAGCAGTAAGTGTATGTTTTGTTTGAGAACTAGTTAATAAATGTTTTTTATTTTAAAATCCATCCTCTCACCTCCTTCTTTTTGTTGCGGCCTTGGCACAGGGTCTTAACACATCAAATAAATATACCTTTGTATTCAATTATGCTTCAGTTATCTTTAATGTGAAAGTATTTTGTGTATTTATTCATACTGTACACACTATACTGCAAAGTCACTTGTCTGTCAAACTGTTTAACTATGTAAGTGTTGTCGCGTGACCCTGATCAGCACTAAATAGGAAATCCAAAGCTCTTCTATATCATTTCAGACAAACCCCATGAAGACTAGAGCTTGGTGACGTGTTCTTATAATGAATGGAAGTGAAAATGGTGAAAATCAAGCAAATAATGATCATGTCAGTTACTGCCTTTTGCCTTTGCACAACTCCTTATTTTTGGCTCATGATACAAAGACAGAGGGTCAAAGGTCAATTTTGAGCTCAGTATTTTTTGCATACAAATATTTATTCATTATAGAGACTAGTTGGGAGCCCTCCCTATTATATTTTTGTCTGGACCAAACAGAAACTTTGAAGTAATTTTTCTCAGTTTCACACTCTGGTGAGTTAAGGCCTTGCTGTTGTAGGGCAGAGTCAGAGATGGAGTTGCCTGGTAAGTTCATAAACAGGGCTGGGTATCATTAAGAAGTTGCCGATACAATACATACCTCGATACCAAAGCCACAATACGATACATAACTCAATACACTGAGCTTACATTTCAGCACAATATATTTCAAATAGATATGATACAGTTCAATATTAAATAAAGGCTGAGTCATGGCTGTGATACTAAAAGTTTTTGTTAAACCACTTGTGCAAAGTTCATATGAAAAACGCCCATTTTAATAATCGAAACTGTGAATATATATCTAATATCTAAACAAGCAGCAAAACTGTAGTGCTGTAACAAAATAATTTAGTAAAATATTGGAAAAAAAAAATACTCTCAGCCTATAATATCCATCCTGTATCATCACATTAAACGATACGATATATTGCTATTTCGATATTTTTGCACACTCCTATTCATAAGGATGTCTCTTTGTTTTTTTTTAAAACAGAGGGATATCAGTTTATATGATTTAAAGGTGCATTGTGTAACTTTTCTAGCGAGGGCCTGTCAAATGCTTTCCTCTGTGATGACGTTATTGCTTTGTCTGGAATGTTTCAAAGTAAAGTATGGAATTAAACCTTTCTATCTTCATGGAGACCAAAGCAGGCCAAGTTACAGGTCAGATCTGTGGAGAGGCAACCCCGCTCACAGTCAGAATGCCTGTTTTTCACGGTATTTTTTTGAGCTATAGATCCACCTGTTTTTCAAATACAAAATTAAAATTCCATGGTCTTATGACTGTTGGAAAATTATTCTAAACCCGTTCATCCCCCTCATTCAGAAGGGAAGTTTGCAAGGGGCTCGTAAAGTCATAAAGTCATACTGTGAAATCCAGGCAGAGCGACGGCATGTCCATAGGAACAAGCAGGTGACCTTGAACTAAAAAGTTACACAGTGCACCTTTGAAGTTTTGTTTCATTTTGACTAAAGACAATCCTTTTCTCACCTATTTCACACGAATACGGCATTGAAGTATTTTATATCAACAGACAACACAAGCATCTGCAATCATTACAAAATTTTGCAAAGACAAGTGGATCTGGAGCTGTATCCTGTCTCCCTGAATTTAGAGGATGTGATTGACAGGTGGTTGAACCAATCAGAGAGATGCATACTCTGTTAGTGTCAAAACAAACGTGGCTGCTTACATGTAAAAAAAGGAGAAAAAACTACATAAAGGACAAAGAAACAGTGTGGATTTTTAAAGAATCAGCGATTGAAGCACCTTACTACTACTTATTTCAGGTAAAAGAAGTTAAATATTTTGTTCTGAATGATGTCTTCTGCATCTGAGAGACACTTGATACAAATGAGCAGCTGTAGTTGTAGTTAGTTTGTCTAAAATTTGGACAGAGGTTTATCACGCTCAGTCCCTTAGCCTTCTGGTTTCTAACAGGATGTAGAAGGGACTGGCTGGTCAGGCAAGTGCAATCAGGTTTGTTTATTTCTGTGATGCATGTGAAACAAAAGAGCTCACCGGTCCACCAATATTTTACAAGAAAATCAAATTTCTGTCACATCAGATTAACAGATCTGTGATGTTTTTAACTTTTCTGGTGGAGGGCCTGTTAAAGGTTTTTCTTCATGACGTTATTGCTTTGTCTGGAATGTTTCAAAGAATGGCATTAAATCTTTTTATCTTCATGGAGACCAAACAAGACCAAGTTACAGGCCAAATCTGTGGAGAGGCAACCCCGCTCACAGTCAGAATGGCTGTTTTTCTAAGTATTTTTGAGCTACAAAACCACCTGTAACTGAATAAATGTAAGGTAGAGATGTTAATGTTATACTGTGGAACATTTCTGGGAGGTGACAGACCCCCAACTGAAGCAAGTGATCCCCAACTGAAAAGCTACATAGTGCACCTTTAAAGGCGGAAAGCACAGCAAAAATCCGCACACAACATTAAACTATACACTTTAAAGATATTTGACATTTTTTGTGAATGACATGTTATTTTTCAACAGGCACACACCATCGGAAAAGGTTTGGCCATATTTCTCTTGGGCTTGGTTGAAGACACAAACTGTTGGAGAACTTTATTGCTACAATTATAAACAAGTTGTTCGCGGAGCTGACAGATGGCTGTGGGGTCTCGTCCGCTGGGACCAGACCACTTCATGTATTTAGGTAGTTTCAGGAGTGTGTGTGTTTAACCAGTGCTCTGTTTACTGAGCAGCTGCAGATGGATAGACACATGCTGGACACTGGCCATATTATTAGACACACCTGTTCTAATGCAAAGATCTAACAAAGAAATAGTAGCAACTGGGTTGTCAAAAGTATCGAAAATCAGATACTAAACGATACAAAGGGATGGGGTGGGGGGTTGCTCTTGATTTTAATTATTGTATTGTAATTTTTCTGTTGCATGTGAAGCACTTTGTGCTACATTTTAAGTGTATGAAAAGTGCTATACAAATAAAGTTTGATTGACTGACTGATTGATTAAAACCAGTATAGAAAAAGTTACTAATTTGAGCAAGTATCGATACATAAAAGTCAAGTTCACAGGACAGAAATAGAATGAATAAAAGGTTTTTAATAAATCCAATAAGTTGTAGAAAACAAAACAGATGAATATCTGAAGAATCAAAAGAATGCAGCTCTGTTAGAGGTTTAGATAGATTGATACTTAATTGATTCCAAAGGAAAGTCATTCATTATTCTGGAGAAAATAAATGTTTCAATAGAAACACAAAAGTTCACTTTTATGTGGATAAATGAATGAGAGCTGGTGTGTGTAGTGTGTGTGTGTATTTTATTTTATTTTTGTATCAAGCTGAAGGTGCATTTTAATTGATTGGGAAGTCCAAAACGATATTTTTTATTCAGTGAGATTATACTGTAAGTCTGGTCACCACACTTCATCACACCTCGAGCCAGATTCAAACAGAACCACTGTGATTTGTTTTGTTTTTTTCAGTCATGCATGTGAAACGAAAGAGCTCACTGGTCATCTATCAATTTCACCTTTTTAGTGCTGTGCTCAATTGACAGTGTTTTGCAGTTCCTTGTGACATTTTTTTTTCCTGTCTTTTTCCCTCATAAGCAGACATATTTTGATGTGGACAGACCATGTGTGCCCCTGATTGGCTTATCCATCTGTCAATCACGCCCATCTGAACACTGGGAGGTCCACCAGTGACCAAACTCACATCTTTGTAAAGTACTGGAGAGTGTGTATTCCGATTCCAGGCAAACATTTTGAGTGTGCGTATGTGCACACATGCGCGCGCGTGTGTGTGTGTGTGTGTGTGTGTGTGTGTGTGTACCAGTTGTGGTGTGTCCTGTAGCAGAGGCAGTAGTGTGGCCTCGAGCAGGGCAGTCTGGTCTGGAGGGAGGCCCTGCCACAGAGACAGGAGCAGGACCAGCAGGTGAGAGCCACTCCTGAGCCGAGCGAAGGCCTGATCCAGCTCAGCCTGGGTCTCCTCTGCAGCCTCAGCCAACGAAATCATCTACAGGGGGCGCACAAGAGGACAGGGAGTTAACTTAAATCCACTGTGGAGATTTTTACTCAAAAACATGAAATACAGAACTAGTTCATTTGCTGTGGTCCAAAGTTATTCACACTTATCTTACTTACTCACACAATACGATTTTAAACATCCTAATTATTCACCTCAGTTAGTTTGTAAGCATGTTTCACAGTTCTCAAAGACCAGTGCAGAGTACCTCAATGGCTGTTAATACAATATACTGTATCTGTTTCTGACCTTTAAAGTGCATGTGCATTTAATGTGCAATGTATTTCAGTTTTTGCTTAAAAAAAAAAAAAAGGAAAAATTGGTGGTTTCTTTTCCTTTTTGATTAGAAATGATGGCATCTCACTTGATAACTCCATAGCTGTTTCACTGTACACTGGGCCAGATATTGTCTAATTTAAACAATATTAAGGTTTGAAAAATATGTTTATAGGTCATAAATTTGCCTGACTTTTATGACATCACACTACTTTTGTAGAACTCAGCACAACTCAGATTTTCAACTTCAATTTCTGACTTCCATCACAAACTGCCAATTGACTGGTGCAAAACTATGACAAAGATTTACAGCACAATTATTATCACACCAAATGAAGTGACAATTAGAAAAACAAAAACCTGTGAATGTGAAGAGTTATATTGTACTGGCATTGAAAAGGTAGTTACATTCTAACTATTTGTTTGAGAAACTTACAGAAATCTTACATTCTTGCTGGTAAGTGAAAGTTACGTATTGCATCTCAAAATGTCAGATCAGAGGTTTACGATCACACATCAGTACAGAAGCATGGGTAGACATTTCAGTGCCGTAAAAGGTACCATAATTAAGTTATCTAAAAGGTCCAATCTTTTGCATTACAAAGCCCTGTGAATAATGTGACATATCAGGAAAACTGTTTATTGTAGCACCCAACTGAAAATGCGAGCCCTATTAGAACTCTTTAATTAGTTTATTTCATTCATCATTTTATTCTCTTGATAAATGACAAGTGAGAAAGTCCAAAGCTTAAAGGTGTAACTTTTCTGGTTGGAGGGCCTGTCAAATGCTTTTTTCCATTGCTTTGTTTGGAATATTTCACAGTATGGCATTAAAACTTTCTATCTCTCTATCGTGGAGACCAAACCAGACCAAGTTACAGGTCAGATCAGAGTCAGAATGTTTGTTTTTCTAGGTATTTTTAAGCGATAAATCCACCTTTAATTCAATAAATGTAAGGTGACGCTGTTTAATGTCATACTGTGGAATATTCCAGACAGAACAATGACATATCCATAGAAACAAGGAGGTGACGGATCTCTAACGAAAATGTTACAAATATTGCACCTTTAAGCTGTTGGGTTACACTACACTTCAAACATGTGTAACATTTCTGACAAGTTTAGACATCCATGATCATTTGCTAAATTTTAAATCAATATAATAAAGTAGACTAACATTTTAAACACGCTTTTGGCTGAATGCGTCCAGTGTATTTCTGATTACACGCTTTTCCAGCTCAGAGACTGCAGCTCCGTGGATTGGCGCAAACACAAACTGAAAGAGGGCTTTGAGATGACATCGCGAGGTTTGGTTAAGAGAGGATAAATGAACGAACGCATGGACGAGGTGCGGTCTAGGGTGGACGACCTTTGACCTCGGGGCCAGGGGTCAATCCCACCGTCCCTCCGTCATTACGAGCCGAGAGTGAAGATGAGTGGGCCCGCCGCGAACGAGCGATGACAGAAGAAGACAGATGCAAGCGAGGACGACAAGAAAGGACAAGTTGGGAGTCGGGAGAGGTTGGGAAACAGTAGCCGGCAGAAGAGGAGGAGGAGGAAGAGGAGGAGAGGGAGCAGGAGGTGAAAGCAGATCTGAGGCTAATGGAGCTGTGTGCGCGCTCGCAAGTGAGTGATCGCGCCAACCACTCACTTGTTTGACAAATGGACAGATTGAGGCTATATGATACTGCTAAAACAAAGAAGGAAGGTTCGAAAAAGTAAAGTGCGCCTATGCCAGTCGTGGAACGTGACAAAGTAAAAGTAGTAAAGTAAAGTAAAAATGTGAGACATCTTTACTTTATTTTTCTGACAGAGGGACCGTCAAATGTTTTCTCCATGGAGATGTTATTGCTTTGCCTGGAATGCTCCCCAGTATGGTATTAAACCTTTCTATCTCCATGGAAACCAAACCAGACCAAGTTACTTTTCACATCTGTGGAGAGGCAACCCCGCTTACAGTCAAAATTCCTGTTTAGTTCCATTGGTAATATTAAAGATGCACTGCTCAATTTTTAAACTCTCCATGGAGACACGCAGATGATTCTACCAGGCAAAATTACAGGTTAGATCTGTGGAGAGGCAACTCCTCTCACAGTAAGAACGCTGTGACCCCGAGGTAGTTCTCATTACTGAGGGACGTCCAGTAATCTCCAGTTAGCGCGACTGTGCTTGTCTGCCCAGCGACGTCATCACATGGAGCTGCCGAGAAAATAAGTCCAGCGGCAGAAATATCTGTTAAATAGTGAGACAGATATGAGTCCTGCTGTGATACGTTTATGAATATAACAACAGCTCGGAGCAGTGAGAACAACCGGAAGAGAGAGCGTTTAAATCTTCTGTCACTGTCCACAGTCCTTGTTGAAGGTAAGCGCGGATTTGCTGTACATTTCAGAGCGTATTTTCTTCATATGTACAAATTGTTTTGCTTCCTGTTTACAGCTGGATCCTGTAGTTTTTCTAATGTAACCAGCATAGACCATATATATGAGGGGACATAGCTAACACGTTAGTCTCCGCGTGCCGAATAGGAAGTTCGCCAGGAGGCTCTTCCGGCTCCTTCTGACCCTGGCTCCAATTGACTTACTTTGTCTTGTTGCCCCTCTGTCTGTAACTGCTGCTGTGAGCCTCGTCATTTTGGTCTCAAAATGTTTATATTAACCCGCTCTACATGACCCTGAACTTCTTTTTTCGCTTTTTTGCCCATCAAAAATATCCTACTCATAACATAGAACCTGGCTCCAGATTCGCTCCTGTAACCGTTAGCATCACGAGCCTCATTTGAGCGGCGCGGAACACTATGGCTGACTTTATACAGTCTATGGTTACTAGCAGTGACCACAGCTTATGAAAAAACTAGTTAACTAGGTCACAAAGAGCATTAATCTCGCAATAAACTCGATGCGTTAACTCAATAATAACAAGATATTTTTCGATGTTTGTTTTTCAATGTATTTTTGATTATACACACACCTGTAACTGTATAATGAAAAGATACATGAGTCTAATGTCATACTGTGAAACATTCCAGGCAGAGCAATGACACAAGCAGGTGGCAGACCCCCCCAACCAAAAAACTTACACATTGAATCTTTTAAGTAACAAAACTGAGTACTTCTTTCATCACTGGTCTATGCAAGAGGAAGAGTGAAAGGTAATTGCCAAAGTTAGACATTTTGATTTGTGAAACGCTGGACTGCCACATTATGTAGGCACGGCAGAGGAAGAAGAAGTGAACTGTGAGTGAGAAAAAAAAAAAAAAAAAAAAAAGGCGTCTGATCCGGGCTCAAATCCAGAACACACACTTTGACTTTTGGATTTGAAATAAAAACAGAAAATGTCCAAGCTTTCATTCAGTTCTGGGTTCATCTGTGGGTGCAATGTCACTCACACGTCGTAAGCCAAACTTGTTCGAGACTGTAATTTGATGTTTTAAATGTTGGCAAATGCTAAGCCGAGTAATATTAGTAGATTTCCCATAATAGTGATTTTAGACTATTAACACCTTACACCTCAAGTACTCAAGTGAAAATATTTTGCTTGGAGAGTCATTGAAGCTGAGCCAAAAATGACACATTCAAAAGCTATACAAGAATACAGTATATATCTATCTTACATTAGTTCAAATAAGGAGCTTTAATATCTTGAAATACATGCATTCTTATTTTTACTTAAAGGTGCATTGTGTAGCTTTCAAGTTACAGGTCAGATCTGTGGAGAGGAAACCCCGCTTACAGTCCGAATGCCTGTTTTTCTATGCATTTTTGAGTTGTAAACCCATCAGTAATGGAATAAATAATTGTGATTTTTGATTAATACAATTTGGCCTAATGAAACTCAAGTTTAATGAGTATATGAGTATATATTCCAGAAATATCAATAACATCTCCATGGACACTAACAAGTCATTGTCCAAAACCAGAAAACCAGAAAAAAAAAAAAAAGAAAGAAAGAAAGTTACATACTTTGACCTTTAACTAGTCATGGGTTTCAGCTTCCAGTTATATGCAACATTTTGAGAACTTTTTCCCATTCAAAAAAACATGTCATATTTTGTTTTTAATTGTTAATCGTTATGGCAACAGTCTTGATATTTTCATCATTCTGGCCCCAAGAATAAGGTCTAATGCTGCATTCTATTGAAGGTCAGTAGTCAATAAATCCAAGTCAGTTCCCCTGACATCTGTTGTAAAAGTGTTCCATTGCAACAGTTAGGGAAAATATGGATGCCCAAGAAAGTTTAATGTAATGTCAGGTATTGCTAACTCCTGCTAATAACTAACATTAGCTGTCGGTGACTCAGTTATGGCAGATTGACTATTACATGTTCAGGGAAAAAAACAACAACTTCTGTCTACTGTCAAATGATGTGAAAAAAAAAAAATCTAAATGTCACTACAAAGTTTGAAGAAGAAACTTTCTCTACACATACACAACTTAACATATCAAAATGATGAAAAGACAGTTCTCCCCGTTTACTGTATGTGCCGACATTTTTACTGTTGCATAAATCCAACCGACTCGGTCTGTACCAAACTAGCCAGAGTTTGTGTTTCGGAACCCCGATTTGATTTGCCGTTCCATTTCCACTTTCTCCAGGTGAAGGTCAGTTTTCCCCGAGTCTTTGCACAAAAGAATGCAGCATAAACTGAGACGAAACTTGATATAAATGTTTTACTCAGAAGGCCATCTTGTCACTGTCTTACCAAAACACACAA